CAACCAGACCAGACCAGTGCCCTGCAGCCAGTTCTAGGCGGCCCAGGCCCACTCCACTAGACCCAGAACTTGAGCCTTGGCAGGGGACTTCCCGGCCACCCAGGCTGGATGCCCCTGGGTTCAGGGAGCCGCCTTCCTGCAGCCCAGGCAGGCTGCCCGGCTCACAGGCAGCCCAGGTCTTCCTGATGGGGAAGCGGGCAGAACAGGCCCCCTTCTGCCTCCCTACGAGATGCTAAGGGCTTTCTTAAAGCTAGTCCAGTGTCCTGTGGCGGGAGTCAACGGTCACTCAAGTCCCTGAAGACAGAGGGCCAGCAGGCTGGGGCCCATGTGTCCTCTGCAGGCTGTGGGCCAGGGTGGAAGGTCTGGGGCACTTAGAGTGTGCCCATGAGGGTGTTGCCCCCATGTCCTGGGCCTGGGACTGAAAGATCTTGGCTGTATCTGGGGAGCAGATGGTGTCATAAAAGGGGTGAGCCATGGGGGCAGCGGTGGGGTTTTAGGAGGGGTGCTAAGTGCCATGGAATTTCAGGGTGCAAAGTGCTTTGGCGGTCATGTCTCCATGAAGTCAGGCTCTGACTCACCTCCAGTTCCTCTTCTTCCTCTTTTGTTTTATTCTGACAGTGCTGAGGATGGAACCCAGAGCTGCTCCCATCATAGGCAACCACTCCCCACCGAGCTGTACTCCCCCCTGGAATCCTAGACCTAAGAGCCCCTCCAAAAAGCCAAGTGACTCTCCCCTTCTTGGAAGGAAAGACTTCCAAGAAGCAGGACAGAGCACTTGTGCAGCCAGGGAAGCTGAGGCTCAGGGACAGGCAAGGAGTCTCAGGCTGCGGTGAGTTCTTCCATCACTGGACTCTGCTACCAGGGACGCGGAGGAGGAAATGGGACCCTCGTGCCACTGATGGACCCCGAGTCCAGGACCCTGCCCTGTGCCTAGACCTTTCCTACTGCTGTGATGTGAGCCAGACCCTCCCCTCTGATGCCCGTGCCAACCTAGGTGGGCTTCCTGGTGGCTGGCGGGGCTGGGTGAGCTTCCCGCTCTCCTGACTCCAGAGTTCTTGCCTCTGCCGAGCTCCCATCTGGGGTCACAGCCGTGGCTCAAGGTCAATGCCATCAGGATGGAGAGGGAGGCTCCTGAGGGTCCCAGCTCTGCCATCTGCTGGTCAAGTTGGCTTTTGCAGCCTCCGTCTCCTACAGCCTCAGTTTCCCCTCTGGTCATCGATGCGGTGACGTGGGCAGCGCTCGGGGTCCTGGAGGCTCCCTGGCCTGGCAGTGAAGTGGCGGTGGACCTGGATGAAGAAGTCTGTGCCCCTCGGTTCTCTGCTGCGCCTGCTTCTTCCTCCCTCCCTCCCTCCTTCACATGGCCCTGGAAAGACACTGGTTTCTAATAAGTGAACTTTTGTTGTTGTTGTATTCTTTTCCTCTTTTTTTTTTTTTAGAAATTTTTATGGAGCAATAATTCACATTCCATAAAACTTGCCCATTTAAAAATGCATAATTCAATGGCTTTTAATAAGTTCACGGGATTGTGGAAACTTCACTGCGATCTAACTTTAGGGCATTTGCATCACCCCCAAATAACCCTGTCCCCGTTAGCATCCCTCCCTCCCAGTTTCTCCCCAACCCCTGTCAACCTCTGACCTGCCTTCAGTCCCAGCTGGGGACATTTCCCATGAACAGGGCACATGGCACCTGTGCCCTCCTCTGTGCCCAGCTTCTTCACTTAGGACTGGACTTGGGTGGCTACGTTAGCAAGGGGTGGGGTGCGGGTGGTTCTGGGTGTTGATTGGCAGTTCTGATGCAGTTTTCTTAAAGCAAATGTCTAAATAAATAGATAAAAGCAGGCGTCTCTCAGCCTACCCCTCCTCTCCCCCTCACATGGGTTCATCATCACCTGCTCAAGTCGCCCCTGTCTGTGGAAGGTGGGACGTGCATGGGACATTTGGAAACTGCTAAATCCTGCCTGAGGGTCTGGATGCCCCCCCACACCCACCACTGGTCCTCTGAGTAGGTGACCTCTTCTGCTCCCTCCACACTTCAACACCCCTTGTGTTTTCCTCCGCCCTCTCTGTCTGTTCTCAAAGTTGCTGTTGCTCCGTGGAAAGCCAGGCCCCAACGCAGCCTGTGAAGAGCAGCCGGTCCCTCCAGTCAGGAAGCTCGGAGGGACAGCTGTGGGCTCAGTTCTTCTCCCCCCATCGTTTTGTCCGGAAGCAGCATCTACCACGAGTTTAATTATGCAATTAAAGTCGTTTTCCTGGGCTGAACAAATATTTACGGCATATTTTGCTGTAAATTGCCTCGCCTGGAGAAGAGTCCTGCCATTCCGCCTGGCAAAGGCGCACGCGTCTGCATATCCCATTACCCAGGGGCTCCCAGCCCAGACGGTCTGCGGCGTGGGCCGCGCACCCCCAGGAAGCAGCCTCAACCCACAGACGCTGGCAGGGGTCAGCGAGGCAAATGCGTTCCTGGCCCCACTCCGGTGCTACTGTGGACCCAAGGACGTCCGCCACTCCTCTGCGGCGGCCCTAAGTCCCAGCTCTGAGCCTCAGAGAAACCTCTGAGCTTTGTCCTGCTGCGGAGAGGCCCAGATGGCCGAGAGAACATGGCGTGCGGCGAGGGCTCTGTGATCATGGGCCCCGCATGGCTGTGCGCTGGCAGCTCTTCCTGTAATCCAGGTGACGGTCCTAGGGGAGCCTCAACAAGAGCCTCTCCCCAGGTCCCCACTCTGCTGAGCTCCTGTGCCAACATGAGCAGGAAAAAACCCCAGGACCGAGGCAAAATCACCTGCTTCGCTCTGCTCCACTTGAGAACAAGGTTCTGTCCCAAGCCCCCGTGCTCCCCATGGACGAGACCTGATGGCTGTCCAGGGAGGTTGAGCCAGGGTCTTCCCAGTGCAGGGGACGCCCCTGGCCCTGCCAAGCTGCCTGGTTTGCTGCAGAGTTCTGGGGGGCACTTGTAGGGCACAGGGGAGGGCTGTTGGGGGGACGACTCCCGAGCAGGGTGGGAGGCCCTAGCTTCCTGGTTATTGAAACCAGAAATCTCAGCCTAAAAACCAGGACCTGGAGACAGATGGAGGGCTCAGAGGTGTGCTTAGGGACACTGAGTCAGCGGCCAATGACAAGGGGTAAGTGGCGAGTCCTTTGTGTCCCCAAATCTCTTATTGTGTCTGAGTCACCTCCTAAGCTGTCCCCAGGCGTCCGGGGCCTGGTGGCAACATGGTCACCCTGGAGGCCAGGCAGGCCATGCTGTGTAGGAGCACTAGCAGTTCGGGATCGGCCAGCGTTGCCCCCAGAGCCAGTGGAGACGGCCGAGGGGCCAGGATAGGATGCCAGGGCAGGGCACGCACTGCAACAAACCGCACCTGTTTTTTAGGGCTCAAGAAATGGGCCCAAAGGCCCCCAGGGGGTGGCTGTGGGGCCTGGTGCCCACTCCGGCCAGCCTCGGGCCAGCCGCCTCCTCTTCTCTCTCCTTCACACATTCGGTGTTGGAGTCGGAGAGCACGTCCAGAGAGAGTTCCGGAAGCGGGATGAGGGATGGAGTCTGCAGCCACTGGTCTAAATTAGCACCGCAGAGAGCATTTCATTCCATTAAGTGGTTTTTCCCCATCACTGGTTTTGGTCTTACAAAGTGCCAATTTATCTGAGGAGCCAGACCCAGTCAAGCATCCCTTAAAGGGGCAGGACTGTGTCCAGCCCTGGTGGACCCCTCTGGATCTGTTTCCCCACCTGCAAACCTGGGGTGATCTCGGCTTCGCTGTCCAAGTGGAGCCTTGGGGGGTGGACCTGAGAACAGGCCTGGGGTGTGGTGCAGGGTGAAGGCAGAACCCTGCCCACCCCAGAGGGAAGAACAGCCAAGGGGAGCAGTGTTTATCTGCAGACAAATGCGATATAAAGTTTATGGTTTGTTTGGAGTGTTCTGGAACAGCCAATAAACCCCAGGAGCAGAGGAGACCAGGCCAGGTCTCCAGGCCCACCTGGGGCCAACCCATGCTACCTCCCTTCTCAGGCAGCCCAGTGTGTAGCTACAGTTCACAGTATGCAGAAGGAGCTTAACCAGTGCTCTCAAAGCAGAGCTCTCCTTGGCCTTTCGTTCTGAAAGGCATTTCCCTTCCACGGATGACACAGTGGGAAAGTATTGCTTAAAAAAAAAAGAGTCAAAAGAAAAGAGGCTTTGAAATTGTCCACAATGCAATTCTTAGGGACAGCTGAGTCCCCAGACCAATTTTTTTTTCCAAAAGTTCACATTAAACACGTCAAGTACAGCCCTGAAGCGGCACTGCTATTCCTAGCCATAGGGCGCCAACTAGTGGCGCCAGCAGATCCTGCAAGCAAAGCACAGCCTCGTTCCCATCCTCTATGCTCCCTCCTCCCACCACCTCCTCCCTGGTCTCCTCCCTGGTCTCCTCCTGGTCTGCAGTTCACCTGCTTCTCAAAGTGGTTCTGTGCGCCCCCACCTTCATGGGCATGGAGGTGGGATTGATTAAGAAGGATTCAATCCGAGCTCTTTCTTTGGATGGTTTAGGTGAGAGAAACCAAGCAAGTCGAATCCATCTTTCCTATAAAAGTTTATTGTGTAATCTTTTCCGAGAAGTGGTAAGGGTGCTGATTACAATTACATAAAGGTAAGGAACAACAGTATACAAAAATAATTTAAACACACACATTAGTAACAAAGCAACATTTCTTTCCACTAACAACTAGGAGGTAATCTTGCCTGAGATTTTTCGAAAGGTATTAAATATGTTTTAGATAACAGTACAAATACACAATGCACAAATACACAATGCTCACACACACATGTACACATATATACAGCTCAAGTTTTTTCTTCTGTGCATTCCAGCTAACTGGTATGGCTAACGTGGAAAAACTTAACAACTAGATGCCCAGGTGACCTTAAAGTTGAACAAAACATGCATTGGATGCAATTTTTAGAGACTTGCTAAGATTTCTCCCCCAATCTCCCCTGATTCCTAGCCTGGTCTCTGTGTTTTTCATCTGAACAATTAAATGTGCCTTTCTGATCTGCTCAACAGTGTGCTCATTGTGCTGTGGCTGGTGCCGATTTGGGAAGACTCGCTTTCTCTTGCTCTGAGTGCATCCTATGGAATGGAAAGGGAAGATTCTAAAGCTAAGGCCCTTAGCTTCTGATTACATCTGGCTGATTCGTTGTTTTAGTGCAAGGACCTGTCTGGTGATCTCGGAGGGGAGGTCAGCATTGACTTGGTCTTCCAAGTATCTCTCGATGTCTTCCACTTCCTCCTCCCAGAACTCCTTGGAGATGTCGAAGAGCTCCTCCAGGTCGATGTCCCCCAGGCCTTGCAGGTTCAGGGCATCCTTCTTCGGGATGTAGCCGATGGGTGTGAGCTGGGCGCTGTCTTCCCCATTGATCCGGTTGAACATCCACTCGAGCACCCTGGAGTTCTCCCCAAAGCCTGGCCAGAGGAACTTGCCTTCCTTGTTCTTCCGGAACCAGTTAACGTGGAAGATCTTGGGCAACTTGGCTGCTGGGCGCTGGGCCATGCTCAGCCAGTGAGCCAGGTATTTGCCAAAGTTGTAGCCAAAAAAGGGCCTCATGGCAAAGGGGTCGTGCATGATTACTTTGCCTATTAAAGAGAGGGGTCCTTTGGTAAGTGATGTGTCCAAAGGCTTAACAGGGACCGTCATTTACTGTGGGTATAGCATGCCTACTTCCCTCTCTTCCTGCCCCCGTCTTTCTCTCCACAAACAGACACAGAGGGGGGCAAAGGGGGGCTGCCCAGAGCGCTAATCACCCTCCATGTGGTTTCAAGTCCTGACTTTGTTTACCTTTGTGCTCTGCCGCCGCCGTGGCCTCTGATCGCATGGCCGCGCCCACGAGCACACCATGCTGCCAGCTGAGGGCTTCGTAGACCAGAGGGACACCTTGAGAAAGACAGAAAACTCCTTCAAGCCTGTGACATTCAGTCTCTAAGACCAGCGAGGTCATCGCACACATGAAATGACTTGGCAAAACGGCGTCTTTTTAGTTGAGCAGCTATAGAGAGAACTGCTAAGGCACCTCTGTACCCACTGGAGCCACAGAGGAGTCAGTAAACTCCAACCCAGCCACCTTAGGTCACAGATCCAGGAAGCCAACGAGTTGGCTCTACCTTGGAGCTTGCAAGTTTATTCTGGATTGGGGGAAAGAAAGCCCCAGCTCATCGGCACCCTCTGACAAGGTCACGGAAAAGGAGAGATTCCAACTGTGCTTCAGTTCCCAAAACCCCGTGCCCCCGCCTGAGCAGAGGAGAGCTCACCTGCAGGTCTGCGGCCTCCAAAGATGATGCCCTCGATGGGCACGCCTTCCGGAGACTCCCAGGCAGCGTCGATGATGGGGCACTGGTCGGCAGGGGTGCAGAACCTCGAGTTGGGATGGGCACAAGGTTCCCCTACAAAAAGAGAGAGAAGCCCTTCAGCATCTGGCCCAAACAGGCACCTGCAGCCCAGAGCGCACAGAGCAGCCCAGAGGGGGCTCACCATCCTGCGGGCTCCACTGCTTGTTCTTCCAGGAGGTGATGGTGACTCCCGCGGCCAGCGGCTCATCAATGCCTTCCCAGTAAACGCCCCCGTCACTGGTCTCGGCCACGTTGGTGAAGATGGTGTTCTTCTGGATGGTCTTGATGGCATTGGGGTTTGTCTTCACGGAGGTGCCAGGAGCAACACCAAAAAACCCATTTTCTGGGTTGATAGCCCTTAAGTTACCTGCACAGGTCCAACCGGAAAAGCGGTGGTAAACCCCAAGCCGGGCAGCCTGGCATCTGCCCGCTGGTTTCCGTACCAAGCTCCCCCACCCCTTTCCCTCCCTAGACTATGTGCCTGTTCTCATCGGGCATCTCTGAGACTGTGCATCTCTGAGACCCTCACAACTCTTTGCTCCTCTTCCATCTTCCACCCACTTATCTTAATAAATGTTTGTATATAAGCCACCAGCCATCCACGGCCTGTTTGACCCGGATTGTTAAAGGATGCTGGGCTGGCAGAGGACAGAGTTCTGAGGTTTCGCAGACTCTGAACTCACTGAACGACACACCCAACACTGGATCTGGGAGAGATGGCCGTGTTCGAGGTCCATAACCCACAGGAGTCCACTTTTTGTCACCGGTGGGGCCCAAGACAGTCACCTTGGTTGTCAAACTTCATCCAGGCGATGTCGTCGCCCACACACTCTATCTTCCACCCCGGGAGGGAGGGGTTCATCATGGCCAGGTTGGTCTTCCCACAGGCACTGGGGAAAGCTGCCGCCAGGTACTTCTTCTCCCCCGCAGGGTTGGTTATGCCCAAGATCTGCAGGAGACAAGGTTCTTCACTGAGGTCTCTGTTCTCTACTACCCTGAGGTCTAGGGATGTGCCTAGAAGTTCCCAAGGGTAGACCCTCAAGATCTATCTGCGTTCAAAAGAACGAAGTCCACAGGATCTCCATGGTGGCCACTGTGCCCGAGGTCCTTCAGCAGGGACATAGACTGTGGAGTTCATAATTACTTAAGAAGTTTCCCTGTCTATGAATCTCCCTCGCAGACAGGAACTTGAACGGACTTGTGCCTGCCACCCCAGGCCTCCCAGCACGGACAGGGGACGTCCCCACCTACCAGCATGTGCTCTGCCAGCCAGCCTTCCTCCTTGGCCAGCCGGCTGGCTATCCTGAGAGCAAAGCACTTCTTCCCCAGCAGCGAGTTCCCGCCGTACCCACTCCCGAAGGAGACGATCTCTCTGCGGTCCGGCAGGTGGGCAATGAGCGTCAGCTCTGGGTTGCAGGCCCAGTTGTTGACCAGAGGCCCTGTAACAGGCGCAGCCGCGTCAGCGTGTGAACGTGCGGAGCACAGGAGCTTGCTTTTTATCAACTCTCAGTTCTGAAGTGGCATGCTTACTTTTGAGAGGCAGGGGGCACCCCACGGAATGGAGGCACTTGATGAACTCCCCGTCGCCCAGGGCCTCAAGGACAGGCGTGCCCATCCGCGTCATGATCCGCATGCTGGCCACCACGTAGGGCGAGTCCGTCAGCTGGATGCCGATCTTGGCCAGCGGGGAGCCCAGCGGCCCCATGCTGAATGGAATGACGTACAGGGTCCGACCTGGGGAGGGGCCAGTGGGGACGGTGAGCCATGACCTTGGCCTGCAGACACAGCTGGCATCATTTTCCGCAGGGATCCTTGCTATGGCCTCCCACCATCGATATCACCCTCATGGCCGCCAGCCCCAAGGTTTAGCAAAGTCCACTGCAAAGTGGACAAAAATGCCCAAATCCATGTTTTCCCAGGCTACGATGAGGCTCTGCCAGGCTGCGTGAAATCCACACATGTGGAACCCTGTAGGGCTCACGCAAGATGTCTGAGAACAGAACGGGGCGCGATTCACACAGAGTGGGAGACACTGAGGCCGGGGGCGGGGCTCCCTTGCTGTCACGGTCACCATCAGGGCAGGTGTCATGAGGACAGGCGTCTGTCAATCTGCCCTGTTGGGGGAATGGCTGCTCACCTTTCATGCACCCTGGGAACCTGGCGTTGAAGGCTTTCTCAAAGTCCTCTTCTGACATCCAGCGACCCAGCTGGCTGAGGCCGGTTTTGGGGATGGGCACCGTGTCTCTCTGCTCCTGGGTGATGATGACTGTCTTGCTTTCAATCCTGGCCACATCCCTGGGGTCAGTGAGTGCCAACCAGCTGCAAAAGTCCCAGGGTCCCCTTCAGTCAAGCACCGTGAGGAACAGACCCATCTCGCATTGTCACATTTCTCCCACGCCCAACAGGACCCGGAGCACACTGGCACATTGTAGAAGTGCGGTGGCCAAGCCAGCCGGCACCTTGTCGGGAAGATGTTGACTAGGCCACTAGCTAGGGGCGGGGACTGTCTTTCATCGTGATCCGGAATCTAGGCTGCAAAGAGCATTGGCCTGCCCAGCTCGATTAGGGCCTCGGTGGCTCCACCAGGTCATCCTGTCTTGATGGTTCTGACCATTTTATTAAGGTTCTAAAGCATCTGCAGCCCCTGGAGATGCCAAGGAGAGGGCGGGGTGGGCCACAGCGGGGGCTTACCAGTTGTCGTATTTGCTCAGCTTCCTGATGATGCCCTCCTCCTGCATGCGGCCCAGCAGCCGTCCGTTCTCCTCCTCGGAGCCATCGCAGATGTGGATGTGCTCCGGCTGGCACAGCTTGGCGCTGCTCTCCACGAATTCCCTCACCGCCTGGGGCAGGCTGTCCAGGTTGCCCTGGATGACTTTGGCTGAGAAGTCCAGGCCGTTGTGCAGCTGAGGAGGCATTTCTGCAGAGCTGTGGTAAGGGGCACAAATGCCAGGGTCACCTGAAACAGAAAACAGCCTTCCTGGACAAGAGGACCAGGAGACGCCTGCCGGAACATCTGACGGACAGCGTGTGGGTTGCACATGGCCAGAGAGTCATGGCCCCAAGGAAAACTGAGTTAGCTTTGTTGCTGGAATTTTTAGCCAGGTACAGAAGAAAGCTTGACCCACCTGCCTTCCTTTTGGGAGGTCTCCCGTCAGATCCAGGGAGGCTGGCCGTGTTCTTCCCGCCGGCGACTGTGAGTTCCCAGTGGGAAGGCCGTGCTTGGCGGTGGAGCCTCCTGCCTTAAATACCGTGGAGGACGGCCCTGCCCCTATGATACACCCAGGGAGGCTCGCCTGTGACGTCGGGGGCAGGTCTTTGGATCAGCGCCACGGTCAGGGATGTTTTGGTCCAAGTCACCACAATAAATCCAGGGAGATAATCATTGAGCAGTTGTTAATGAGTGTTGGGAGGCCTCAGGCCGCGACCAGCCACAGTGAGTCCTTACACAACTTCTGATCGACTAAACTTTGACCCTGTTCACTGCTGATGCAAAACATACCCACCCTTTCTTTGACAGGCAGGTGGGGTCAAGGACAAGGCTGGCCCGGGGAACTCCTGGACCTCAAATGTTGTTGGCAGCACATTTTGTGTGCCAATAGTCACCGGTTGACAAGACACTACAGCTGTGAGATGCCAACCCCACAGCCAAAGCTCATGAGAAAAACACCCTGTGGCCAGTGTGCAACTCCTTGGCAAAGATCTGCACCTCTGAGCTGATTGGGTGCTGATGACCTTATTGAGTGCGTGCTATACACCCTTGCCACCCCCAAATAGGAAGTCCAGGAGGGCCGGGTTTCTTCTTATTTGCTCATGTTTGTATCAACAGCACCTGGCATATAGTAGGCACCGAATGCATACACATCAAACCCTATTCTCGGTGCTTTACATCAACTCATTACCACCAGCCAAGGTGCCACTTGGAACAATCCTACGTACTGACAAGGACACTGAAGGAGAGAGGTCCAGTAGACTGGCAGGAGGCAGGGAGGCCACGAACACAAGCAAGCTGGGCTCCAGCATGTCACTCTGCATGAGGAATCCTTACCTCTTCTGGAACCTTCCATATATTCCCCCCAAGAAGTGCTGGGCTAGGCATGGTCACTCTGGCCGCCTAGCAGGCACATTTCACTTCCCTTGCAAGTCTGAGTCTTGGGTGTGGAGGGGGCTTGGTGGTTTTGCTGGACTACACTTAAGCAATGAGACCTTTATAACAGTTGCAAAGAATTTGCTTTGCAAGCTGTCAGAACCTCAGCGCAATTTAGTGCATCTCAAGGCTGTTTGCTGGGTTACAGGAGCACTGGGTGAGAAGTCAGGAGAGGGGAACAGCTCCCAGGCCTGACTCCCCCAGGCAGACAGGGGTTCCACGGGAGCCCCCTACCTAAGGTGAGGCAGGGTGAAGACTTGGCTCACCCCCATGGGGTGTGGTGTGACTCAGGCTTGTAAAGAGCCTCGGCAAATTCAAGGCCCTGGGAATGGCCAGCTGGACCTATAGCCTTAATGAGCCAATCCCAAGGGCGTGGCCCACAGCCCAGCAGACGGTCGACCCACATCTCCACTCCCACCAAAATCATCAACCTGTGGCTGGGTTTCGCTTCTTCAGGTTTGGGGGGGCGGCTTTCGGTGCAAACACGGCATGGAGTGACTTGTTGGTGTGAGGTTACTTCACCTCCAATTCACTGGTAGTCACTTCTAGGGGTGCCATCGGCCACAGGGAACGCTGCTGTGTCTACGCCCAACAGGAAGTCATGCTTGGCTGCACAGGGCCCTTCCTTAGCACCGCACCTGGGACCAGGCGTTCCAATGCACAGCCACGGGCGGCGCGTGCCTGCGGGTTGGTGCACGCGGTTCACCCCACGGACTTGGTGCGCTCCCATTCTGTGGATGGGACTGTAATGGGCTGGTTCCCTGGGAGACCTCAGAGATGGAAAATCAAAACAGAAAAGCAGAGCCTGGAGTTTGGAATGTTCCCCACAAATCCCAGGTGATTGTTGTGAGTCTCCCAGGAGGGACACAGCTAGTTCCATTCAAATGTAGGTCTGGTGAGTCACCATGACCTTCATCCCATGTGAATGACCCACCTGGGCAGTGCGGAGGGGTGGCCTCAATCTCCTGCCACTCTCCCTTGTCAACGTTAAAAAGCAAATATTGGGCTACAAACTTACCTCAAAGTGCAGAGTTCTCTGGAAGAATGAGACCAAATAGAAGGTAGGGTTTTGAGGACACATGGGTGAAAGCATGGGCAAAGGTCCCTTGTCCCCAGTTGATGGCATCCTGGGGCCCACGGCTTCCCCTGTCCTTAGAGACTCCCACTTCTAAGGGGCTTCAGGCAGCCCCAGCCTCCCACTCTCCCACTGGACCGGAGTCTTTGTCACCTGTGAACACCAAGAGTAAGTCCTCACGGTGGCTCTTCAGCTGCGGGGACCCGGAGTGGACGCTGACTGCGTCCTGGGTGGGGGATCTGGGGGCTCCCACTGGGTGTGAGCTTCAGCTGTGGCTTCTGGGAACAAGGCCTCCGAGATCCCCTAGCTTTTCAGGGGCTACTCAGACACGTGCTTCTTTAGGTCCAAGCTCGTGTAAAAAGCTGATCCCAGACACAAAACTGCCCTGGGAAAAAGGAGAAAGGAACCCAGTCCCTGGAAAAGGTAGTCTGAAGACTGAAACGGACTCCTTCCCAGCTCCTTCCCATGGCGGCTGCTGCGTGGCCTGTCGGTGAGCCGCCTCGCACCTCCACGCCAGCTGCATCCTCCACGTGGGGGTGATGAGGTCCGAAAAGGTGAAGGGGTTGTTTTGAATCCAATTTGCAAAAATCACATTTCTCTAGGAATCCTCAGCACAAACATTTATTAAATGTGCACCAGGTACCCAGCTTTGGGAATGAAGAGGATCGCAGTGGTGGGCTTCCTCTGCATGCCAGAAGGGAACCTATTCCATGCTTCTGTCTGATGTAAGCACTTTTATTATCTTTCCCATTTTATAGATCGGGGACCTGGGTCTCAGGAAAGGAATCACACATATTCACTCAGCAAACACCAGCTGAGCCGCCACAACCGCCCTTGAGCTGGCATTTCTCTGGATATAGCCCCAAACTCTGAGCCTGTGACTCTCTTTTCCTTTCTAGACCCTCAATACCTCACTGTTGAGCACACATTTTGTACATCCTGCATACCCACTTCCAGGAGCAGCTTCATGGGGCCATGGGCATGTCCTTCCCTTGGAGTTGCCTGCTCATGGTCACCGTCTTGAAGTCCCTAACAACATCCTCTCTGAGAGTGTGTGGCACAGGTGGACTACAGAACAGGCACCTGGGCTCCCACGGGTCCTGCCTCCTACTGCCCCTCCACCTCCTTGGGACAGGTTTCTGGTCACTTGGTTTCCTGGCCCACCCTGCCAGGTGACCACGGCCATCCTCCATCCCCAACAGGGGCCTGGGGCTAAGTGGGAGGAGGCCAGGCCGTGCTCCTGTGAACACTGGTTCCCCTGAGTATGCGGTGTGCCAGGGAGGGCACCGTCAACTGGCAGGTCAAGCACCCACGGCTGGTGGCCAGACCCTGGGAGAAAGGGGAATGTCTCCTGGTCCCTTTTGAACAAGGAACCTGCACTTTCATTTGCTCCTGTTCCCACGGCTGACAGAGCCGTCCTGCACGCTGCGGTGCTGAGAACGGTGAGGAGCGTCCCTCAAGGACTGGAGATGGTGCTGGGTGTCTGACGGATCCTCAGCCCACGAGGGTCCACCGAAGAGCACCATGTCCACAGCCAAGGGACTGTCCCCCGGGTCTCCCGAGCCCCCCAGGCCAGCCCGCTGCTCTCGGCCTTCCTAGCACGCGGTAGAGAGGGAGCAGCGGCTGGCAGGGCGCGTCTCCTCCTCACCCACGCAGCGCTGCCACCCACTCATGTCCCCCAGGCTGTCACAGGGCACCGCGGGAGGAGGGAGACTCAGAAGAGCCTTCAGGATGTGCTCAGGAGGCACCCAGAGACACAGGCAGGGCCTGCCTCGACTCCAGGGGACTCGGCAACCAGAAAAGAGGGGGCTGCGCCAGCTCAGCCAAGCCCTTCCCCGGACAGGTGAAGGCCGAGAGCAATGCCGGCCGCCATCGCCCCAGTCCGTCTCTCACCCCCAAGACCTGGACACCCTGCTCCACCCCACCCCTGATGGGATGGGCTCCTCCCGCCTGGGGCTGACCACAGAATGGCCCTCTATTCAGGAATCTGGATTCGGTGGAAAGCATGGCTCTGGCAAAAGAAAGAAAGAAAAAAAAAAGGCCACAGTGACTTCCCAGAAGGTGACAAGAAACACACTGTGTCTATCCCACGCCTGGAGCCAAGGCATTTGCGCAAACCGACCCTGGGTCTCCACGGCTGCCTTGACCACACCGAGGAAGTTTCTGGCACAAGACAACTCTGCTCAGCCCTGTGACGGCCGGCCCCGGCCTCGTCATCCGGGCGATTCAGGTCATCCACCCCAACTGTGTTTGCCGGGGACAAATATTTAGAGGCTGTGCGTTTACGGGGCGATCGCAGCCTCCCGGCAGCGGGGAGGGGATACTCACAGAGTGGCTCCGGCTCCTGTTTTGGTGCCTCATAGATTCATACAAGTGAAAGGGTCCTTGACAGGTGGCACTCGTCTTGCTGAATACGTTGGGTCTCCTTTGGGGACGGTGACAGTGCTTTGGAACTAGACAGAGGGGTGGGTGGGCAGCACTGGGTGCAGCAGGGCCCCACAGTTGAGCACCTTAAGGGTCCGTTTTATGTGATTGGGCTTTCACCCCGGGGTGCTGCGTGGAAGTCGCCATGCCCGCTGGTCCTCTATTGTGAGGCTGGAGGAACAGGCGGGACAGTGTGGCAGGGACATACCAAGCCCACCTAGCACCCAGCCAACCCTCGGTGCTGTCCTTTCCACGTCCCCACCCAGCCCTGAGGTCCAGGACGGTGGCCTCGGGCTGAGGGCTCACCCGGGGGTCCTCCGCGGCTCCAGCGGTACCTCCCCCCCTCCAGGGTCTTGCTGGCAGAGTTTTTCCAGAGTGAAGAAGGACAAATGAATCCAGGAGTAAAGCTCCCGCTCAGTGCGCTAACGAAGTGCGGGTTTTACTGCAAAGATGTGCCTGGAAGACACCTTTGGGAGGCGCTGATGTCCAACGCCAGGCCCTCGGGAGGGGCCTCTGGAGGGCTCCTTCTCTGTGGTGACCGACCCATGTGACAGCCGCCCCAGGAAGCTCGTCACCTCTGTGGGGCCTCCGCCTGACGGAGAGGATGATGGCGCTCTGCCTGGGGGATGGGGCACTTGCTGGAGCTCACGTCACCCATCCCAGGAGCCATCGCCCCCTCAGAGTGCAGTGTCCCATGTCACCCCCACCCGAGGTTGACAGCTTAAATGGAAGCCACCGACTGGGCAAGGTGACGGCAGGTTCTTCCTCCACCTCCAGGAGGTGCAGGCCCGAGGCCCCGAGCCCGGTGCCTAGTGCTCCTCCTCCCTGGACCCCAACCCTCTCACCTGCCTGGGATCCGTCAGCCTCTCTTCTCTCCCTGAATCTGCTTTCACAACCTGGCTTTGTCTTCCCCTTCAGTTTGCATGTTGTAGACAAGGTGTACAAAGGCCATTCTGCCTGAATTTTTCACCATTCCCTTTTATTCTGAGCCTGAGTTTGCAGATGGCTTTCCATGTCAAGATGCTAGCTGCCTTACAGAGCTCCATGTGGCCTTCTAAAATGCAGGCCATCTGTGTGAGACTCTAGCCTGATCGACAGTAGAACTGGCAGACAGACAGACGGCCCCCACTGATTCGTCCCTGCACCTGCAGTCCCTGACAGCTCCCTGAGGCTCCAAGTTTCCTCATCTCTGAGACGGCCCTTCATACTCAAATCACTCTTGGCTTCAGGTGCTACCGAGTAAGTCAGTCCGTTTTCTAAGAGTTTGCTTCAAAGAAAGTGAGAACGAATTTGTCACAGAGCACAGCTCCAAACGCACTCAGAAATGACAGCCACATCAGGCAGAGCAAGGGCAGGAGGGACTAATTGTATAGTTTCCACAAAGACAATCCAACACACTTATTTCGCAGGGAGAAAATGGACCATTCTGTTACTCCACTGGAAGTAGCAATGATGGCTCAGGAACTGAACGCCACCTTCCGCCAGCTCCCTGGTATCGATGCAAATCGTCCCGTTTTCCTATGATGCCGCCACTCAGAACAGAAACATCTTTTCTGATGGGTGCTGCGGATAATTCCTAAAACTCAGGGAAGTTAGCTCGGCCTGTTGGCTCTGCTACCAGGGGGCAGACTTCACAGCACCCAGACACTGGCCACCCTCCGGGGCTGGGCGTCTAACTCTGCTAGAGAAACTGGAAGTGTTTCCAGGTTGAAGTGTAGAGGGGACGGAGCTCCCTGGAGACAGCTGTTCCAGTAGCTGGTGCTGGAGCTGGGTCTGTGTTCACGCACGCGGGACGCACTGTCA